GACGTGTAGAAATGTTTCGGGAGAGGCAGCTTTCTAGTGTGAATTATCGCGTCCCTTGGTTGACGTCGATGGTGGGGCTTGCCTTGACGTGTAGCGCGGGCTGCTATTTGCCCCGCACTAGTTGGAGCTTTGGGCAATGCAATGACGATGATTCGTCTACTTTTCACTAGACAAGAGGAGCTGCAATCATCATGGAAATTGTTCGATTCAAGTTCAAGCTCGCCAACAGCTCGACACACCCGTCGAAAGATACAGCAGTGGGGTATAGTATTAGTGGAAAGGGACAATGCTGAAAACCCTGGCCCGACACTCGCCCTTCGCCCGCTGTATTCAAAAAGATTGTTTTTGTGGTTTTCTGACCCTTTTCTGATGCGGCGTTTCCTCAACTGTGCGGTGATGCCCGGTGGCTTCTCTTAAGCCGAGAAGGAAGCTCCCTATCTCTCCGCCTTCTCCTCAGCGGCGGCTGGGACAGCAGTGGTAGCGGTAGGCTCAGCGACAGGCGCAGGCGCAGGAGCAGCGGGAGTAGAATCCGCAACTGCAGGGGTTGGTGCAGGGGCGACGGGCTCCTCAGCTTGCGCAACGGGAGCTGGTGCCGCAGCTGGTGCAGCGGGCGCAGCAGCCTTGTCCTCGCCAAAGTCGGGCTCGTCGAACATAGGACCGCTTGTAGCGCTCATGCCGGCTGCGGGCTGGCTGGTAGGCACTGCGGGCATTTCCACGGGGGCCGCAGGTGCAGGTGTATCGGTGACCTTGGCCTCAGTGTCCTTAGGGGCCTCGGTGGCAGCGGGCTGAGATTCGGCAGCAGTTGGGGGAGCGGGCGCGACGGCACCAACGGGTTCGGGGGCTGGAAGATGATGCGTTAGTCTCGGTGTCTTGAGCGATGAAAGAGATATAAGAAATACTACTGAAAACAAATGTCGTATCTGGCGTAAGTCGTAACGTGCTGGGGGAAGTGCGCTGATGCTAACACATAGCCATCCATCTGGTGCAGGAGTCCCACACCTAGATGGGGCCGTTCCACTGGTTGTCTAGGTCGACCTTCTGTCGCCGCCTAGAGCCATCGCAGGCTTCGTTCCCGCGGTACGGTAGTGGAATGGAGTGTGAACGAGATGTAAACCTACTGGACGTGGCCTTCTTGACCTCAGTCAGGGCCGCAGCTTCATCCTTCTTCACCTCGCTCTGAGCTGGATCTGAAGCTGGAGCTGCAGCGGGCTCAGCAGGCGCTGGCACTGGCGCAGCGGGCTCGGCGCTGGTAGCCGCGGGTGTCGTCTCGGTCTTTGCGGGCTCGGGCGCAGTCGCAGGAGCTGGGGCAGCTGGCGTAGTCTCGGTGGGCTTGGTCTGCGCAGGCGTAGCAGCAGCGGCTTCACCCGTGGCCGTGGGCTTTGGCTCTTCCTTCTTGGACTTCTTGCCCCTGAAGAGACCCTTGAAGGCCTTCTTCATCTGGTCCATGGCGTCGAGTGCTGTTGGAGGGATGTGTCAGATAGCGATTCTGTGGATGTGCTCGTGATCACACGGGCTAACGTGGAGGGTCATGGCTTGTGGTGGGTAGGAGTTTGCGCGGATACAAGCAGACATCAGAGTAGCCAACCGCTACAAAGTTTGCAACGATGCAAGCGCGTCGGATCCGGAGATGGACTCGATTTGAAGAGTGAAAATGGGTGAGGATCGCACTTACGAACTCCCGGCATGCTGACGACGGTCCTAGCTGGCTGCTAGATAAGCTATTGAGGGTTGAGGGATAGAACAAGCGTGCGCAAAAAGAACAGGGAAAAGAAATGCAATGGATGAGTAGCTAACGGCGAAGGATGTCTAGGTCGCGAAGGAGCGTGATGATGACAGCGAGGCGCGCGGAGGTTGTCGAGTTGACGAAGCTCTGTTGTTCTAGCCGGGACCCTGACACGCTAGCCAATCGTCTCCACCTCCGCACTATGCACGCCAGATGCACACCATGCCACCAAAAATAGCGCCTTCATGCACTACCTGCACGCAATCAGCCGCCGTTGGTGTTTCACCTGTCGCTCGAGTACACTACAGCCATGCAGGACATCCTCCAGTTGAACCATCGCGCCTACCGTTCCCAAGGCTGCCGACGAGGCCGCCGATACCACAGAGATTAGACGCCGCTTCTGGTTAGCGCTGACTCGCCCTGCATCGACGACGATCGGAGATTTTGTGGTTTATCGTGACACGTGAGCTGCACAACACCACACACAATATCGTCCTGGAGTTTACATACTTCGCGCATTGCAGAGGTCTTAACATGTAGTCTTTTTGCGTTGTTGCTATAGCATCGGCCTAGGTTTGCGCAGCACCGAGTATGCACATGGATAACGTCACCAAGCACAGGGCAAAGGGCCTAATGTTTGGCTCATGCTGATGATGATGAACCGAAAAGGCCCTTTTTCTTTAGGTGTCCATCCGTTGCGGAGGCTATGGAAATATCAAAGGATGCGTACTCCAAACTTGGCAGAAATGTCGCCTTGCTATCTTTGGACTCTCCTTGCATTAAGATGACAATGTCATTGTAAGCCGCGGGGTATCATCGAAAAGGTGTCCAGTCCAAGGCTCTCTTTGCAACGATATGGAGATCAGCAACGCGACACGTGTGGACGATCAATTGGGGCCGGCGTTTGCAGTATTGGAGAGCAGCCTCATCGTACAGTGCGTCGTGGCCATAGCTGCGATATGTGTTTGCACGAGGATATGGTCGTCGCACGTCTTCAGATCCATCAAGTATGGCAAAGGGCACAATATCTTACCACCAACACTGCCGTACTGGATTCCAGGACTCCGACATGCTTTGTCAATGGCCTATGATTCCCATGGCTTCCTGGCCAAATGCATGCAAGTACCCAAGGACAACTGTGCTGAACTGTCACATCGTAGCAGAACTGACGTGTTGACAGGAATGAATACGGGGACGGCTCACCCTTCTTCCTCGACGGCGCAGGCGAGAGACTACTCTTCATCCTCGACCCCGAGCACATCAAAGGCGCGCTCAACAACTCCGCCGAACTAGACCCCAACCCCTTCATCCACGACAAGATCATGGGCGCACTAATGAGCAGTCCCAAAGCCGTCATCGACTACTACAACTCCCCAGAAAGCAACACAGACTACATCCAAACTACGCACATCCGGCAACACACCACTGGCTCCAATCTCGGTCTCCTCGTCCAACGCCTCTTCGACGTCATGAAGCGCACCATCTCTGAAACCCTCGCCGAAACCCCTGATGGCACATGGCACGAAATCCCCGACCTTTACGCCTTCCTCGAATACCATCTTTCGTATGGCATAACCGAAACACTGCTGGGCAGCTCGATTATCGAGTCTTACCCAGAAATCATAACAGATCTCTGGATCCACATCGAAGCCACAGATCAATTCTTCATGGGCCTCCCCCGCTTCATCATTCCAAAAGCATACGCCGCCCGCGACCGCCTCCTCTCCGCAATCCGCACATGGACCATCAAGTCCGAGGCTCTGCGTCAAGCCAACGCCGTGAACACAGTGTGGGATCCCGTCGCGGGTTCGGGTCTTCTCCAAGAACGCGAGAAACTATACAGCGAAATGCCTGGCCACGGCATCGAAGGCCGGTCCGCTCAAACTCTCGGTTTACTCTACGGAGGAACCAGCCTAACCGTGCCCGTCACATTCTGGTACCTGTTTGAGACGCTGCGAAATCCGGATCTACAACAGCGTGTATTGTCTGAAATGGAGAACCATGTAAACGAGGAGATAAGAGCGTACAACTTCATGCAACTCACCTCGCGCCCGCTGTTCCAGAGTCTCCACGCCGAGACGACACGGATGTATAGTTCCAACCTCGCAGTCAGGGAAATCATATCCGAAACGTGGAAGCTAGATGGCAAATACACCGTGCCCAAAGGAACCCAAGTCTTCATCAGTCACAAGTTCGCCGGCCAATTCACGCAGAGCTGGCGTTCCATACGGCCCCAAACTGTTGCCAAGCCCCTAGATACCTTTTGGCCTGAGCGGTATCTCGTCAACACATCCACTTCCCCTTCCACTTCCACTTCCACCCCCACCTCCACTCCGACTCCCTCCAACAAGACCGACAACCGCTCAAAGTTCAGCGACACAGGTCTGAGCGGTAGTTGGACTTCCTTCGGCGGCGGCGAACATAAATGTCCTGGTCGGCATTTTGCACGCAATATCGGCATTGTGACACTAGCGGTATTGATGGGGGTGTTTGAGATTGAAGTGAGTGATTTGGAGGGGGCGAGGAGGCTGGATCCGGGGAATAAGAGGAAGGCGTTTGGGACAATGAGGCCGAGAGAGGGGATTGCGGGGAGGGTTAGGCGGAGGGTTTAGGGGAGGGGGTGGAGTGGGGGGAGGATGGGGTTCTGGGGTGAAGTATACATGGCCTTGGATACTGGTGATGGAGACGGATTGGATCGGATGTAAGCGGCACGCGGTATATATCCAAGTCGTGTTCTACAGATGTTCCCATGTATGGGAATTTACGTTGGAGTATACAACCCCCGACGCTATTAGTCTAGTAGATTTTAGTGCGTTGTAGACGTCACGATACACGAATCTTTACTGAGCGGCAATACAGCGTGACCAGATTTCACAGATGTTCGTGATTGACGCGTTATTCGATGCCGGTCATGCTTCATAAGCGTACTACATCCTTCTTGTAAGGCGTCCCCACCCGTTTGGGCTAGCTTCCCTTCCCCCGCATGTAGGGCCGACCTAGACCATTACTATTTGGATGCCGCCGATGGCGACATGCTGCGGCATTACCACCAATGCGCCCTTCGGATGACACCTCAACAAGTCGATGCAAAGCATTATTAGGATGTATGCCGACGGCAATAAAGTCAATGGATGAGCCTCTGGACCGGAGCATGACACCAAAGAATTCTATCTAGCAGCACAAGCTATATTACCTAGAGCCGGGACTAGAGATTTCGAGTAACTGACCTCACACAAAACGGAAACGGACGTTAAGACTCACTTCACAAGCTATCGACATGTCTTTCTCGATAGGCATGCCCTGGAACGAGGGCGAAGAGAAGATGCACCGCCTCCTCCGCATTCCGCCTCAAGACAACCCGACTTCAGCCATGCTCACGCCACAAGCTGCGTTCATGTTCCAACACGCTCCTCTGCTCGCATTCGGGACTCTAGATGCACAGGATCGGCCTTGGACGACACTATGGGGTGGCGAACCTGGTTTCTCTGAGCCGCTTGGTGGCGGGTTCATCGGTACGCGCACTCTTGTCGACGGCAAGCACGATCCTGTTGTGCAAGCGCTCGTGGGTGGAGGGGAGAAAAGCGAGAAAGGCGAGATGACACAAGCGAAAGACGGTGCAAAGTTAGTGGCAGGTCTAGCCATCCACCTGATGACGAGAAAGAGAGTCAAAACCGCCGGCCGCATGATCGCAGGTACGATAAAAGACGTCGACGTCGAAGTAGAAGGCGAGTCAAACAGGAAACAAACACAGCTCCAACTCGTCACGAATATCGAGCAAAGTCTCGGGAACTGCCCAAAGTACCTCAACCAATACGAGATCCGGCCCGCGCTTTCAGACCCAGAACTAGTATCGCAAGCCTCATCGTTATCCGCAGGGTAAAGTAGCCGCCACAAATAGCTCTTAAGATATCTTACTAACTTATTACTAGTATGTAGCTCTCTTACTATGCTTTGCTAACGCAATAGTAAGACATCTTACTATTTGTAGCTCTCTTACTATGCTTTGCTAACGCGGTACTGAGACATCTTACTATTCGTGCTAACACTTGACAGAAGGCACAGCACTGATATCCAAATCCGACATGTTCTTCCTCTCCACCAGCACAGAAGACGACATGGACGTCAACCACCGCGGCGGCCCACCGGGATTCGTCCGAATAATTTCCCCAACTACCCTCGCCTACCCCGAATACTCTGGGAACCGGCTCTACCAATCCCTCGGCAATCTTATGCTAGATCCAAAAATCGGGCTTGTGTTTCCAGACTACGAAACCGGAGATGTTGTGTATATAACCGGCACGACCGAGATCCTCGCTAGCACAGACGCCTCTGCCCTCCTCCCAGGCAGCAACCTCGCCGTCAAAATAACAATCTCAGAATGCCGGTACGTAAAAACGGGTCTATCCTTCCGCGGCACAAAGAAAACACCGAGTCCGTACAACCCACTCGTCCGTACACTAGCTACTGAAGGCAACATCCGCGCCGCTCTCTCCAGCACCACCTCCTCTTCCACTTCCACGCGGCAAACAGCCCTCCTCACAAAGAAAGAAATCCTCACACCCAGCATCGCACGCTTCACTTTCTCCGTCGATGGCGGTCTGACATACCGGCCTGGTCAGTGGATCGCGCTTGATTTCAGTCAAGAGCTCGATGTAGGGTATGAGCATATGCGGGATGAGGATCCGGGGAGTTTGAATGATGATTTTGTTAGGACGTTTACGATCTCCTCGAACCCTAAGGCAGGAGATGGGAGTAAAGAGAAGAAGTTTGAGATTACTATCAGAAAGGTGGGGACTGTGACGAAGTTCCTGTTCCAGCAGAATGAGCGGGCAGGGTTGGAGGTTGGTGTTTTGGGGGTGGGAGGGGAGTTTAAAGTCGAGAGTGCTAGGGCTGGGGAGGGGAGAAACGTGTTTGTGGCTGGCGGTGTGGGCGTCACGCCTTTATTCGGCCAGATCGGTGGGCTGGATTTGCAGAACGGAGGATTCGTGTTGCTGTGGGCGGTGAGGGGAGAGGATGTGGGGTTGGTGCTTGATACGTTTAAGCGGTATCCCGGGCTTGGGAAGTGTGCGAAGGTGTTTTTGACTGGGCGGGCTGTGGAGGGTGAGCTTGCTGAGATGAAAGATGAGATCAAGGCGGAGGCAGAGGTGGTGGAGAGGAGGATGATGAAAAGTGATGTACAGTATGTGCAGGCTGAGACGTGGTATGTGTGTGCTGGAAAGGGGATGAGAAAGGAGGTGACTGGGTGGCTGGAGGGACAGAAAGTGGTGTTTGAAGACTTTGATTACTGAGAGCTGGATATGGTTGATAACTCTCCTTCCGCATTTTGATCTAGAAACAGCACCATGATTCCTCCAGTCAATAATTCTTTGATCCAAGTATCGTGCATACATTCACTAACACCCTACCACCTAACTATGCTCCCTAACAATCATCTCCGCAGCCCTCTCCGCAATCCCATAAACAAGCGTCTGCAAATGCGCACTCGGCAAAAGAGGAATAACACTCGCATCCACCACCCTCAACCCCTTAGTACCATAGACCTTCAACTCTGCATCCACAACACCACCATCCTTCTCCGGCAGCAGCGCAGCAGTACCAATAGGATGATAAATACTCAGCGTATTCGCCAGCGCATATTTGCGCCAATCCGCATCCGTCTGCACAGCACTGCCCGGTTCGTACTCATTTGTCCAGACCTCGCTCATGGGCGCGGTAGAAGCGATCTTACGCAGGTACTTGGCGAGGTTTGTGGCGGCTTCGAGGTCGTAGGGGTGGGAGAGGTAGTTTGGGTTGATGAGCGGTTTGTCGCTGATGTTAAGGGAGGAGATGTGGACGTTTCCTTTGCTCAAGGGGTGTTGAACCACGCCGATTAGTGCGAATGTGCCAATGCCGAATTGGGTGGAGTTGACGGCGGGGTAGCCTTTCAGACCGGTGTAGCCGTCTGAGAAGATGACTTCCAGTTGAGGTACCTTTGTGCTGAGAGCGGGGGAGAAGTATGATTTCTTCAACTTGTCGGTTGCGGACGTCAAGCTCGCGTCGCTGTCGACGAGGTTCCGGAGCTTTGAAGCGGTCTCGTTGCCGACGGTACCCCAGGGGAAGTATGCGTAGCCGCTGGCGGTGTAGTCGTAAAGTGACACCTCGTCCGCGTTGTAGAGGGCTAGCTCGGCAGCCGCGCGAGTGGCGTTCTTGAGGACGTCGAAGGAAGGGTATTCGGGCTTCAGTTGGTAGGAGATTTGGATGCGAATGTGGTCTTGTAGGTTCTCGCCAACCGAAGGTAGGTGCTTAACAACGGGAATACCGAGCTTCTTGAGCAGAGTAGAGTTGCCGACACCGGAGTGTTCCAGAAGACCGGGAGTTTGGAACGATCCAGCCGAGAGAATGACCTCCTTTCGCGCGGTGATTGTTGTACCGTCTTCCAGGGTGACGCCAACGGCAGTCTTTCCTTTGAAGTTGATCTTCGCCACACGCGCGTCTAGCTTCAACACCAGATTATCCTTGGCGAGTTTGAGGTATTCTGGGGCGTACGAGCGAGTGTAGTTGGGGCTGACGTTGCTCGGTTGGGTCGAGACACCGATGGGGTTGCCGTTCAGGCTCTCTCGGTTCGTCGCCAAGCCGAGGCTGTTCATGGTGGGATACCATGAGGACTGGTGACGGGGAAAGATCCTGTTGATGAGCGTGCGGATGGGCCCCTTTGTGCCGACTCCCTCGGTGCCGTATGCAGGCGATGGTAGGAATGTTTCGCACTTCAACATCGCAGCGTACAAGTTCTTCCAGTTCCATCCTTTGTTGCCGAGCTGCTTCTCCCATGCGTCCAGTTCGTACTCGGAAGTCCTGTCCCAAGTCATGAGATTGAGCGCAGAGGATCCTCCAAGCACTTTGCCACGGTTCTGTGCAAACACGCGGTTGTTGGCGCCGGGTTGTGCAATGGTGGTGAAGTTCCAATCATATTTGCCACCAAGTGTTGATCCTTTTCTTCCTGGGACGCTGATACCTGGTTCCTGACGGCCATCGGGTCCAGCTTCTATGACAAGGACGTTGAGATCTGGGAGTCCGAGACTAATGCGTGAAGCGACGGCGAGACCTGCAGTTCCGCCTCCGACTACAATCTATATCGTCTGTTAGATCATCTTCGGAATCGGGATAGAACCTGTTGGCTTCGAAAGGCAACGTACAAAGTCATAAGAGCTGGCATTAACCGCTCCCTTCGCCTCCCGCTCGACAACTGCGGCACTACCATACTCCAACAGCGCAAACGCCAGCAAAGTGGATGCCTGTAACTTCATAATCGCGTCCCGTGGAAAAGCAGCGCTCTCTCAAAAGAATGAATAGCCGATACAAGACTTGGAGACCGGTAAATCACCGCCCTGGAGCACACCAGCGGAATACAAATTGCTTGTCAGCGCTACTGAACTAGGAAAAGCATGCTAGCGACATCGAGATCTTGGGCCGAGATCCAAGATTCCATATGCAGGTGCGGGCCTGATATCGTGTATCCATTTTATCCGATGCGAGACGGGACAGGGGCGGGCACAACACCCACTCTTTGCCTGCGTCCTTACGCCGTCTACCGGGGATCTCGTATGAGTAATCCGGATACTTCATGGGAGCTTCAGTGCTTTCTGGTGCTCTCGAAGCGGTGCGGTCGCGATCCCTGGCGTTGTCGCCATGCTGAGAGCCATCCCATCGGGAACATGGTACCTATGGCTTCCGGGGACATGGTGAAGACTTGTTCGACTACTCAGCCGCAATGTGGGTCCGGGAGTTGATGAACGGGAACTAGACGGTTTTTCGTAGGACGGTGCATCATGCGCGAGCCGTATTCCACACTGGTGGCAACGGTCCATGCCCAGGTGGCCTTTGAACACCCCCAAATCTGCCGCCAACGCTACGTTTCCGTTATCCCGAACGTGCGCGAGCGGTAGAAGTGCGCGTAGCAAGAACGTGGTAAAGAGGCAAGCAGCTGTCAATGAAATCATAGTCAAAAGCTGTAGAACATTGAAACGCCCAAGTGGGCAGGCGCGCTAGTCGGGTGCCTGATGTCCTCTATCAGCAGGAACGAACAAGGCTATCCTCATGACAATACACACCGCAACTACTCTCCAACCTGTTCCTACGCCTCTCTGAAAGAATTGTAACTCTCCCACATGTCTTTCGTCCAAAAGGTAGCATCTCGGCCCAACCGCCGCAACACGAGAAAGCTGAGCTGCCCAGACCAGCCAGCTGGACCCCTAGTTTAGTCTCAACTCCGCGTCTCAACATGGACATGACGGAGATGCTGTCTTTGCTCATCCACTAACACCTCTATCATTGTCTTGTACATACTTCATCTTTGCCGACAACGCCAAACAGCACGTCACATTCTAGCCCACGATGGCACCGCGCAAGACGCGGGTGAAGCCCACAGCCTACCCATTCCTACCCTTCCACATCATACGATGCGCGCAACTGCTTTCGTCCTTAGTAGTAGCGAGCATCATGTTTTACTTCCTGCGTGAATTGGCGCATGATGGGTATAGGTTGCCTTGGACGTTTATCTTGGTGAGTCCCTTCCTCATTTCGTCCTGGCTATTTACCTAGTTCAAAAACCCAATTCAAGGTTACAATGCTAACATTTACTTAGCTAATGACTGTATCTCTCCTTACCCTCGCCGCACTTACAACTACGATCGTCCTACACTTCCGCCACGGCCTATCCGCGTCCCTCAATCTGATTCTCAACAGCGTCCTCACGCTCCTCTGGACTGTCTCCTTCGCTTTGCTCGCGTGGTGGTGTTCAGGCACATTGGCACACGTTTGCGACGCAGAAAGCTGGGAATCAGACACCGGGGTCAGCGTGTGCAGGATGTACAAGGCGCTGTTCAGCTTCGCGTTGTTGGGCTTTGTTGCCACGGGATGCGCGTTGGGGTTAGATGTCAAGGTCATGAGGGGCGCGAGGACGAGGGGCGTGTTTCAGCAGTTGGATGTGCTGAATGGCGGGGAAGCGAAGAGAAATGAAGAGGATACAAGAAGGGACATCAATCCGAATCCCATCGCTGCGCGGGCGCAACGAGGTAGGGGCGGACACGGTTACGCGCTGCCTGAGGAGCAGTTCGAGTACAACGACATTGGATATCACGGGGCTGCAGGTGAGGTTGGGCAAAGCAGGATATAACCCCTAGACCTAGAATAATGCCATGAAGAATAATCCCATCTACTCAAACGCTATCTCAACGCCGCCCAAATGCTGGCCTGAAGCCGGGTATCACAGTGCAAGAAAACTAGAAAACGTCGTCCATGATGACATCTCTGCTCATGGCTGCCGTCGCGGCATGCTCAGTACCAACATCCGCGTCCATGGACATGGACGGGGCTTCCCGCGCGGGAATCTCGTCTTCGACAAAGACGCCCAGGCCACCGAATGCTTCGCGTAGTGTCCGACTGCAGTAGTCTTGCAAGCTGTGTCCTCCCACCAGATGTGCCGGATCTCGCTTCATACGCGCGTACCAGTCCACCTCGTAGCTGTCCTGGAGGACGTAGTATTGTGGCGCGATGGTGTAGCCGCCGAATGGGTCGAAAGGTGCTTCGACGGGTGGCGCGACGCGCTTCTTCAGTCCGCGGATTGCGAAACCCGGGTCTACGTCGTCTTTGATGCCGGTGCTCTTGTTGCGGGCGGCGGCTTCTGTTTCGGCTTTTTGGAGGGCTTCGAATTTCTTTAGTTTCGCCCAGGTTGCGTCTACGTCGATGTTGAGGATGAGGTTCCAGTTGATTTCTTCGACTTGCTCGAGGTAATCGTTGTAGTCGCGGAGGGACTCGAAGTCGTCTTCTGTTTTGTTCATGCTGTAGATTGTTAGCCAGACGTCGTTGTTATGCGTCAATAGCACCTACATCTTCATGACCTTCTTCCTCAGATCCACCTCCCGCTCAACCTTCAGATCCTCAAACGTCGCCCTCCGAAAGTTCCGATAAGCCAGCGTCTTTGCGCATCCAGCAACAGGACATATACTGTTGCCCTTGCCAAAGAGCCGATCCACGCAGGTATCGCACATTTTGTGGTAGCATATCGGGTTGATCTTGAACTGCATGTTGGAGTTGAGGAAGCGCGACGACCTGCATACGGGGCAAGAGTCTGATGCATCGTCAGCGAGGAAACGTGGGGTTTGTGACTGCTGTAAAGACAAGTTGTAGAGGGTTTTGGAGAGAGACGCACCGCCATCTGGCTTGGACGCGTCGGCGCCGCGCGCGGTTTTCGACATGGCGGGTATGAGGCGGAGGCGAGGGAGCTGCGAGGATGGGGCCGAGGGATCTTGAGGTTTGGTGCTGACTCAGCGGGTGGAAGTCGCTGGTCGTCTTACGAGATTGGGAGCATGTCCGGAAGTCGATAGAAATGTAGACCAGGGGAAACAAGACTGAGTCTGAAGTCCAGGAACCGCTCCTGTCTGACAGACGACATACCGACGATCTGTATGCATGGCTTGCATGGTTTCCCTTGTGGGGCTTGACGCCAAGACCGACGCTTTTTCTCGTACACAAAATTCCTTCACCTTTCCTTCCTCTCCAACCCACTCACCACATCAGCAAAAATGGCAGCCTCAACACAGAGCGCTCTAGAGGAGATTGAGCGCCGCCGTGTGCAGCTGCAGCAAAATGTCGATAAGCTGCGCAAAGCCCTCTCCCACTGGACGACCTGGGAGGCTGAGTATGAGGCGCTCAAAGAAGAGATCCAAGGCGCCAGCGACCCTTCACCCTCACAGATACGTGAGATGGCACGCGACCTCGACCTTACCCTGCTGGACCACAAGGAAGTCGAGGAGCTGCTCTGCAAGAACTCGCCCATGGAACGCACTGCTAACCAAGTTATTGACATGATCTCTAGACGCATTGACTATGTTCGGACGAGCAGTGCTACTATCGAAAAGAACCTTGATGCTGCCGAGAAGAAGCTTGCTGGTGTCGATGTTCTGTTGGAGCCAGGCATGGACAATGAAGAGGGCGAGCCGATGATGGACATTGAGGAAGAACTCGATGACGATGGCAACGAGGTTTCGAGCTCTGTGAATCAGACGGGCAAGGCTGCAGCTGAGCTTGTTGAGGTCCTACGCAAGGCTGGTGTCCAGAAGGCGGAGCTAGAGAAGAAGAACGCAGCAGAGGCGCAAGAAGCTTCTCCAGATGCGCCGTCCACGTCTACGCCAACTTCACACACCACACCAGAGTCGAAATCTAGTCCGTCCTCCTCCGAAAACACGCTCACTCTACCCTCCTCCGAAGCTTCAGACCCAGAGCCTGTCAAGAAGTCAGTGTCTTTCTCTGAGGAGGTCGACGTCGAACCAACTCCGAAAGCTACACCACAACCTGCACAACCCGACTACGAAGCAAAATTCTCTGTCGATGAGGAGCTCACGCAGGACGACTACGAGAGCTTGGCCAATGCCATTATACCAGATGACGAGTCTGCAGAGGAAGCCGAGCTGAGACGGCAAATGCTTCAGTATGGCATGTCGGAAGTCGGACAGATTGTCGCTGAACTCGATCTGGACCAGCCTACTGCGTCGTACTCTGACGAAGAAGATGACGACTACGGCGACTACGACACTGAGGACGACGAAGAAGAAGACGAGTATGGCCGCAGCACCAAGCCTGTCATCACCGAGGACTATCGCAAGCAGATGATGGAACTTGAGAAGAAGTTGGGCGCTCGCATGCTTGAGAATGTAGGGCCTGAGTCGGGCAAGCCATCTCTCGAAGACCACATCGGAGACATTCGTACCATGAAAGTGAAGAGCGACGATCAGTTCGATGAGTCCATGGCTTCTCCTGCGACAATGCCGGCGCCGGCTGATACAAAGGAGTCGAAGAAGAAGGGAGTGCGCTTTGCCGACGACCTGGACATATCTGAAGCGCCAAAGCCAGTACAAGAACCAGCTGGAGCCGCGCAGTTACCTGTTAGATCGACAACGACCATATCCGATACCATTGTCGAGCGATCTGCCGTCCCTGCCGCTCCGGTAGATCCACCCAAGCCCGCCAAGGTATCCAGGTTCAAGAGTGCCCGCGCTGCGACGAACACTCCTCCCCAGATGCTGCCAACACCTCCGGTCCCAGAAGCGTCGCCTGTGCCAAGTGGCCCAGCTGGACGAACACTAGCCACTACCATTACCGAGCACGCCCCTCTACCCTCAGAGCCCCAGGCACCTGATGAGTTTGATCCAGTTCTCTTGGACCGCGAGATCAAAGCAGAGTATCACAAGGCGCGCAATCGCTTCATCCAGCGCCAAGGCGGATTCAAGGCAACTGAAGAGGACGAAGAAAGTCCCATCGTAGAAGAACGAGATGGCAAGACCAAAAAGGTGAGCCGTTTCATGGCGGCTAGACTCAAGGCCGAGGGTATGTAATATTCCCGTATAACGTCGCCACCACGTTCTCATCGTCGTTCCCTTTCTACACTTTCACCACCGACCCTTGTGAGGGTCACGCGTGCATGCCTAACGGCACAGCGCAAAGCCGAAAGGCTTTGTCAACGGAACAATTCATGTCCGTGGGAGATACTATTACCATGTATCATGACCACATTACATTGCTTCCAAGATTGAAACAAGCGGTACCACTAGACTCGCCGGGCCAAATACTATGCCTACTCGAGGTTCATATGCTCCGTACATATCAATGACGCCAGTATTGGTATGAATGAAAAATGTTACAAATCGACTTTTTATGATTTTGATGTGAGTGAACACGTGAATGCAATGAGATTACCTAGGTAGTCTCGAGTGATTGCCACCGACAGCTGAGGGAATCGCTACCTCGTCCTGCATACGTCAGGTGGGGGATCAGGTCCATGGTGGGGCAACGTCTTGAGGCGACTTGTAAATTTTTGGTCAACGCCGCCGCCATCATGACCTCCGACTCTGGCTCCTCCACGCACTCCGATTCGCTGCCTGCTGCTCTGCATCTCCCCTCGCCGTTTGCAGACACGGGCAAAGAGACTGCCCACCTCGCCTTTGCACCCATAGCGCTGGCGCAATACCACAACATAGTCGAAAAACTGGCCTCCAACAACGTCTACCGCATCCTCCGCGCACCCGGGCCCATTCGTGTATGGGTCTACCGATCGCTACTCGCCGAGCACCAACTGTGGAATGACTGGGACCGCCGCGCGCCATCACCGCCCGACGTGAAGCCTGAGACGGAGCCCGCCATGGCCGAAGACAGCATCAACGACACGGAGAGCGTGAGCGACTCGGAGCGGCCCGAGAGCTCGTCCGGCATGACCGCGCGACCCTACCTCACCCGACTACGCCTCGCGCTCGCGCCCTATACCGTTCATTTCCACAACCCCGGCTATGTCCGCGACGATACACTGCGCATGCTAGAGCGCGACGTGGTGAAGAAGACGCTGGAAGAGTCGCGGAAGAGCCTCGAGTTGCGCGAAGAACTCGGCCTCTCGTGGGAGTTCTGGGACGATCTCGCGGGCGTGCTTAAAGCTGCTATCCCCTCGCTCGAACGCCGCTGTTTTGCAGCACCGGATCCTGCTGCGCCTGAATATGAGGGTCTGTCGGGCCCGCTCATTGCAAGCTATTCGCCGAGTCTGCTTAGGGATCTGGAGCGGCTGAATCAGCTTGTGTGCATTGCAAGGAATGTGCAGGTACATGGCGAGAGAGTGCAAAATTTGAGTGCTGACAGACTGTTTGACAAGGACATTTTTGCATTGATCAATGTCTGTGTACGCGTTACGGCGCGGGGCTATGATGGCGAGGCTGGAACCCAGGACGAAGACAAATGGCAGGGCGTCATTAATGCGTACAAGAAGCTCCTCATCACTTGTTTGCAGTTCCTCAACAATCTCATCGCGCGGAACGAGCAGCGGAAACTGATGCTCTGGATCGAACTATTTGACAGTCATCTCGACAATGAACTGCCCAACTTCGCAGACATGAAGTACAAAATGGACGAGTTTCCACAACAAGATCAAGGCCCGCCACCGGAGGAGCAGCCTCTGCCGACTCATGCAGCGCGAAGTCTGGACGCGTTCAAGATTCCTCAACAGCCTGCGTCCTCGCCATTCCTGCTCTACATTGGCGAGACTGGCAACGACGTCAAGAAGGCGCTGATACATCATGGTGTCAAGGCAGGTGCCAATGAAATTGCGGCCGAGTGCAGGCGGAGGTGGCAGACCATGGGTGAAGAGGAGAAGAACGTAGGTTACGTCTGTCGTGTGACCTGATTCCTGCTAATACTTTCAGAAATGGAACATGCTCTATGCAGATGTCGTTGCCCGATATCGCGATCAGATCACTCAAACCAGCACATACCGCAAAGTCGTGGATCAGCATGCCAAGAACGAAGAGAGTGTACAGGCGCTGGCGAAAAGCATCAACCAACTCCAAGTGGAGGTCGACAGGATGCGGTCATCCATCACAGCTCTCCCTGGCGACGAGTCCAACAGCGAGCAACCATCCCAACCCACAGCGGAGAAGCAATCCCCGAAACCAGCATTGGATGACTCGTTACTAGATCCCAGCATCAAACGGTCTCCCCCGGCAGGTGAGATCGATTTCCGTGTGACATACCCGCCATCCTTCGGTGCGGAGATACTCCAAAATGGCAAAGAAGATCTGCTTAAGCGGCTGGAGCCAGACCCCGACCGTCCATCAGGGCTAATCAGTGACGTAGCGTCTCCTACCTCTCCTCCGCCAGAGGATGACGATGACAATGATGACGACTACGATGACATACCTGGTGATGAAGGCCGAGGGTTGCTCACAGATGTTCCGCTTATTCTGGGTCCTACTGAGATTGAGGTTCTACCTATGATCATCATGGCTGGAATCGTTGAGCCTACGGAGGGACAGCCTGGTCATCATTCCGATCCGACTGTTTTCAGCAGTGTCAGGAGCATGCATGGGGTTCGGTGTCATTTGCTTCTTGCGCAGGACAATGGCCGGAATCTGCTGCGCGAGTTGTTGATCTTTGTTGCTGCTTGGGATCTGCGCGAGGAAGAGTTGTACTTCAAGTTCATGGTCAAGATCATGGAGGCTATTCTTGCCAATCAGCTACTGCCGTTTGCTTATCACGCCTTTAGAGAGTCTGAGTAAGTATACCCATCGGAAACACGGACTTTGACTAACGTAACGACAGATCCAAGGACATCATCTCTCCGGCTCAGGCAGTCATCATGAAGCTCCTCACAAATATCTTCCGCGCCAGACAGGCCCGTGCCCAGCCAACGAAGGGTCATCTCAAGGCAAACCACCCGCAA